TTATATTAAAAAAAAAAGTTTGTTTTTTTTAGGTGAATAAAATTTAATTTAATTTATAAATAATAAATAAATTAAAACTTATACATTATATTATTTAAAATTATACATTATATTATTTAAATTTACATTATATTATTTATATTCTTTTTAGACTTTTAAATTTTTATCTTAACAAATAAATAATTTTCATCCTATCATATTTCTATCATATAGAAGAAATTTTGAATGAATCTAATAAATTTCTTATATAAAAATTTCACAAATTTTAAAATTTCATTAATAATTAATAAAAACGAATTTAATATATATATAACAATAAATGTTTTATATATATATATATATTTGTAACTTACAATCTGGAACATTACTTCAAATTAATATGTTCTACACACACTTATTAGATACTTTTACTACTTATTTCACTCGCGATTTTTGAGCAATTCAATTGCTCTCTAAAAGAAATCGGAAATTGCATATAGTTATGTAGTATTGTGAAATGTAGTATTTTATAGTGAGTCAATATAAAGAACTCCCAACTACATAAATCATATATCGCTCAAACACTGATGAAACAACGCATTATTAAAATGATTAATCATATGTTATTGAAAAAATATACTGCATGATAAAATAAAATTAACTTTATTCTTTTTAATTAATTATACATGCATAACATTAAAAACAATTTGATTAAAAAGCAAATGATTAAAATGATTAAATGAAATAAATTTTGAGATACTACCATAATATAATAAATATAATATAAATAATAATATAAATTTAGTTACAACAAAAACGATTCCAATATGATTCTAAATATATAATTTGTGATATAAACACAAGTATTATATGTTATTATTTAATCTATATATTTGTATATTTATATTTTGTAATATGTATATCTTTATGAATATTGATCTAGGTTATTTATACAAACGAAAGTGAATGGAAAAAGAATATAAAAGAAACATTATCTTTGTTTAGTAAAAAAAATATTAAATAAAAATAAAGATATATCTTATTTTTTTCTTTCTCTATATATGAAATTTATTACGAGTACAATTTAATTCTATAATAACATATTATATAGAATAAATATCAACATGATGTCTAAAAATATATTATTTATATATATCAATATTATTATTTCAATATTATTTTTAAAAAATAAAATTTTATTAAAAAATAAATTCTATTTTTATAAAAAATAAAATTAGAAATTAAAAATAAATTAATTAAATGCAAAAAAAATAAGATTTTATAGTATTAGATATGTTTGATATTTTTTTACATAATAAAAATTATATTAATACAAATATTAAGATTGCAATAAAAATAAAATGTATACCGTGCGATGTAACGCGTTAAATTCGCTGTATCTTCTTTCGATAAAATATCGAATACCACTTTCTGATTCCAGAACCTCAATACAGTAAACATAATAGGGCTTGCCGTGTGACACTTCGGCCAAACGGTATCCGCTAATGAAAACTTGATACATTGCATCGCTGGCAATTTTCTAAAATCTTAAAACACTTACGAGAAATAAATAATACAGTAATAATATGGTAATAAAGTTTAAAAAAACACGAAAAATGTAACACTATATTCTATCGTCAAGCACCTGTCAATTCACTATATTGTTGCATGTCGCACGCGATATATTGAAAAATTCACTACCACAAATAAAATGTGCATAAAATAATACCAACTTTTCAAATATATCTTACACTGATAAATTTATTTAGATACGAATAATAAAATCAAAATTCGTTTTAAAAAATCAATATTTCATTTAATTTAATTTATTAAAATCAATCAAAAATAAAAGAATAAATTTATTTAATTTCACTAGTAATATAAAACAATAGTAACAATTGTCTTAACCTTTATTTTAATGCCTTAATGTCTATCTTTTATATTAAGTTTCTTATCTTTGTTCCTTATAATCATTGGAATAAAAGTAATGCTTTTGTTTGTAAAATGTTCGCGGTATAATTGTAATAAAAGTTAGAATTAAAAATATATAAAAATGACATTTTTTACAAAGTTGTCAACATGGAAAGGATTAATACAAAGATCGTTTTTACCAATAAATCAAACAATAGTAATATCAAATTTCGATATCCATACGTCAAAATGTAAGTATAGCTACATTTAAATATAACTTACCACATGTGATAGAAATAACTTCAATATAAATTTTAATTGTTTAAATTGTTTAAAAATGAATTATTTTATATTTATAATAAATTAAATTTTTAGATTCCTTTCTTGGTGAATATGAAATGGAAGATCCAAAATCAGAAGCTGATATGTAGGTAAAATTACATATATGAATATTACATCATTATAGATAAATATCATAATTCTATATCATAAAAAGAATTAAAATATAAAATTTATTGTATCTTAATTAATATAATTTATTAAATGTTATAGTGTAAATGTTACTTTTATTGATAAAATGGGAAAAAGAATACCTGTAAAAGGAAAAGTGGGAGATAATATATTATATTTAGCCCATAGATATGGAATTGAAATGGAAGGTGCTTGTGAAGCATCTCTTGCTTGTACCACTTGTCATGTATATGTACATCAAGATTATACAGATAAACTCCCAATGGCTGAAGAAAAAGAAGAGGATCTGTTAGATTTAGCTCCTTTTTTAAAAGAAAATTCAAGATTAGGTACATAAAAATATATAATATAATTTAATATTTAATATTAATTTCATTCAAGATATTAAAACAATTTAATATATTTAGGTTGTCAAATTATATTAACAAAAGAATTAGATGGCATAGAATTGGAACTACCTCAAGCAACAAGAAATTTCTATGTAGATGGTCATACACCAACTCCACATTAATATAGATTAATATAGATTTTACTTGTATGTTATATTTGAATTAATATGTATATATTCTATCTACATATATAAATAATATAATTATAAACTTTTATTTTATTATGTATAAAATTTAAGTGTAATATAAATTAAATATTATATTTTCTTATTTTTTTAATGAATATTTAATGAATGATAAAAAAACATTATATTTTCAGAATGTACTTTAATGTATTTCATAAACTTTTAGAACAACAAACTTGATTTATATGACATTTGTCATGGTACAATATATTTATTTCTTATACATTTGGATTATGATACATATCTTTAATTACAATGATACAAGATTTAAACATTTATGATATAATGAATCCGTGAATTAAAATTGTATTTGTTAATCTTGCAGCATTTACATCAGTGAAAATACTCTATAAGTTTTTTTGCAAACTGATCGCATTTGAGCACTGCCACTAATGTGTTTACACGTTTTTCATTTCTGGCAGGCACCTTTATGCATTTTCCCAGTTTGACAACTTTCACAATAACTTTGTGTACATATTCTCTATATGTGCATACGTTCTCACGTTCATTACCTATATTTATATGCGTACGCAATTTGCACTTTTTTTATGCATCCATACATGTCTTTGTGTCGATAATTATCATCATCAACATTGTTATATAATTATCATACAAACTATATTTATTTATATTTTCTGTTCATTATTGATCACTATAATTATAGACACATTGTAATATCTCGGATCAATCGCAACCTACAGTCATACTTCATAATTAAAAGAATTTAAATAGAAATACATTCGCTCAATCACACAATATCATACAAAACTACATTGTCAAAATGATTACATATGTATCTCTCTCATTTGGTATGAGTCATCACAACGGACTTATTGAAAAAATAATTTTTTGTACTTATTTATAACTAAAAATAGATCGTGATATTTAATTAAATATATAGAAAAAAACTGTTTACATTACATATATTAATGGAATACTTTAACTCAATAAAAATAAGAAATTTCTTCAATATCAAAAGTAAACTATCAATTTTTTTTATGGCAGTAAATAATTTAATATTTACATAATTTAAACTTTAAGTAAAATTCTGTCGTGAAGCATTTATAATATTATAATAATATTCTTCTATAATTTTTTGTATAAAACAAATCCTGATCAATAATAATTAATTTATAATACAACAAAAAAAGCCTAATTATATCATTTCTGTATATCTCACTGAGCTTATTAAATAAATATAAATATAATCTTTTTATTATCAAAATAAAATCATTATTTGGTTGGAAGCATTTTGATTATGAAATGTATCTTCTTTTTCCTTTTCATCTATTAAAAGAACTATTATATTTATATACTTGTAGTTAATTTAATTTAATAAATATATCTTATTTCACACAATAGAATTAATATTTATTAATAAAAATTATTATATGTATTTATAAATTATGATAATTATATTTAAATTTAAAAAAAATATGAAGCTCAGAGAGATAAAATATTTTAATATCATTAAGTGTGTTCATGAAATAATTAACTTATAGCAGATAAAATTTGTTATGCTAATGCAATTTGAAGCATTTAACTATGTCACATAAAATCAGTAAACAATAATTATAAAAAAAAAAATTATTATAAATCAAAAAAAAAAGAAAAAAATATAATTAAAATTAAATATATAATACATTATATATGAAATAATATTAATCAATTACAAAATTACACAAATAAAATCTATAGATATATTTAAAATTTTCAGTTTAAGACAATTTTGATATAAAATATTTTAATTTAAAAAATGAATTAAAAATATATTATCATTATCGGACTAGAAACATAAGGCATAATGAAAATTATTCATAATAATAATTAATTCTTTATGTATATTTGAAAAATATTTTTGCAATAACTGCTTTTTTTTAATAATTAAATGTCTATAAAAGATGTTGATCAATAAATTATTTTGTTATTCCAAAGTTGCACTTTTCTTATTTATTAAAAATTGCATTTCAAAAATAATTTAAAAACATTCTATGACATTCATAACATGATCATTGATTTTATGTAACTATTATGTCATATGTTTTTGAATTTTGAATTTTTTAAATTATTATTAGTTTTCTTGCATTAATATCTATGGTCATGAGCAAGATATTTTTGTATTATGCTTAATTCATAGCATTTTAGAATTAATTTTCTTTCAATAAAATTCAAATTTGAATATATAATTCAAATTTTTAAATTGAATAAAATCACATATTATAATTCATGAAGTTGAATACTTATAAAAAATGTATAATGAAATCATCAATAAGCAAAATTATTGCTAAAAACTAACTGCATTTCTTTCAAAAATATCTTAATTTTCATATAAATTATATTCCAAAAAATCCATGTCATTCAATAATTGTAAAATATATAGAATGAAATGAAATACCTCTTAGGTACTAATACAATTATAAAAAATAATTAAAGATAATACAATAAATCAGAATTTTTTCAAGAATGCCAAATATGTATGTTAGAAAACTATAATATATTATAAAATAAAAAATTTTAAATCTGTAAACAATTTCATGCAAACATTGCATAAAATTATCTTTTAATATAAATTATCTTTTTAATATATACATAATTATAATATGATAAAATTTTAAACTGAAAGTATATTCCAATACATAATAAGCCTCAAACTGACAATACATGTACTTAAAGTTTTATAAGCTTATCTTCAGTATGTATGAAGTAACAATAAGATCAATAGTACTAAAAGTACCATGCTAGTAAATAGTAAATACTGATATTATTTAGCATTTAACATTGTGCCAACATAGTAGCATAAGAAATTCCATTTAACAGATAACTTGACTATAGAGTTTATATAATTATTAATATTTTGTAGATACAAAGAGCACAATACGAAAGGACCTTAAAAACGAAATTGCATATCAGTGAACAAAATTATTTACCACTAGATATTCAGAATCATTCTTGAATGATTATAAATATTTTTAATAAAACATGATACAATTTAATTATGAATTTCATACATATTTGTGAAAGTGCAACTAACTTTTATTAACCAGTTTGTGCTAATTACTGAAGCAGATTAAAAATCTCTGTATACTTTTTTTTATTAAATATTTAAAATTTAAAATATAAACATACACACACATTTTGCACATCTTGTTAACTAAATTGAATTTAATTCAAATTATTTCTTGTAGAAAAATTATATAAAATACTATAACATAGATGTCATCAACACTGGGTTCAAATATACAAATAATATACAAGATCTTACTTAAAAATAAAAAAAAAACAGAAAACAATTCAAATAATATTATATAATAATAATAGTAATATTATAATAATAAAACTTCAATATTTTCAATTCTTTGATGAAATTTAAAGTATAAAAAAATTAATAAATAATATTTTTAATTTATTTATAATAGAATAAAAACTTTTAATTTATTTCTCTATATTTCTCTTTCTTGACAATTACGGTAAAATTTAATCTTATAATATAGCAAACATTTTCCTTGTCATTTTCATACAAGACAAAAACTAGCTTTCAAACTGGGAATAACAAATTACATCTCTTTTCTTGACTGAATTCTCACAATGTGCACCATGTATCACAAATAGTTGGTCAGTCCAGATAATATTATTGGACCAATCATTCAGAGTAAATACTAAACGACGTCCAAATTGTTTAATGTACAGATGTGTCTAAATAATGCATTTGCTAATAAAATATACAAAATGTATGGAATATACATGGTTTCAGAGCTAAATGCGACAATTTGTGCTCATATCT